TGAGGGTATTATGCTAAGCAAAATTAATCAGACAGAGAAAGATGAATGCCACATAATTTCACTCATATGTGGAAGATAAACAACAAGCAAACACATAGATATGGAGAACAGATGAGTGGTTACCAGAAGGAAAGGGGGTGTGGAGAAGATGAAAGGGGTAAAGGGGCACATTGGTACGGTGATGGTTGGTGAACACAATGCAGTCTATACAGAAGTCGAAATATGATGATGTACACCTGAAATTTATATAATGCTATAAACCAATGTGACCTCAATAAAAAAGTGATAATAATCTGTGGAAAAAATAGTTACATTAAAATATAAGACAGGAGTACCTTTGTTTTGTTTCAGTTCTGCAATATCCTAAAATTTAGTAAAATTTTTACCTTGAGCTGCACGTAAAAACCCTGAAAACTAAAATCCCCCAAAATTTACCACAGCAAAGGATAGTTTTTATTTGAGAAAAATGCATACCATATATCAATATGTTGAACATATATCATAAAAACTATAACACTTTATTCTTGTTTTCAATTCTGTAATATAAATTTTCTATTATAAAAATAGATTTACCATGAATTTCCATATGTTCAGCTCCTGAAAACAAAACAAAAAATCACTGTAGCAAAGAGATACTTTTCACTAATACAAAATATACAAAAATTGTTAATATTTCAGAAATAGTATAACAATTTAAATTAACACTTACAAAAAGATAAAAGGGAACCGCGTATTCCTCCATACTTTGATTTTTAATACTGCATAACAAATGTTTCATCTTGCGTTTAAACACACTCCAATTTCACCACAGCAAGGAAATCATTGACTTGAGTTTTAAAAAGAGTTTTGTATTTTAGACATATTTGAACACACAGCTGACAGCACACTTACTATACAGTTATGCAAAATGTATAACTCTTTTTAACTTATATTAATAAAAGGTGGGCTTACAAATGCTAAATGAAGTCAGGATATACACCAAGCCTCCCTTGGTTTAGTGATTTAGTGGTTACCTGAGGGGAAGGGGGTGTGCTAAGCAAAATTAGTCAGACAGAGAAAGATGAATGCCACATAATTTCACTCACATGTGGAAGATAAACAACAAGCAAACACATAGATATGGAGAACAGATGAGTGATTACCAGAGGGAAAAGGGGTGTGGGGAGGGTGAAAGGGGTAAAGGGGCACCTTGATATGGTGATGGTTGGAAACTAGACTATTGGTGGTGAACACGATGCAGTCTATACAGAAGTCGAAATATAACGGTGTACACCCAAAATTTATATAATGTTATAAACCAATGTAACCTCAATAAAAAAGTAATAATAATTTGTGGAAAAAATAGTTACATTAAAATATAAGAAGACAGCAGTACCTTTGTTTTGTTTCAATTCTGCAATATCCTAAAATTTAGTAACATTTTTACCTTGAGCTGCAGGTAAAAACCCGGAAAACAAAAATCCCCCAAAATTTACCCCAGCAAAGGATAATTTTTGAGAAAAGTGCATACCATATATCAATATTTTAAACATATATCATAAAAGCTATAACACTTATTCTTGTTTTCAATTCTATAATACAAATTTTCTATTATAAAAATAGATTTACCATAGTTCAGCTCCTGAAAACAAAACAAAATATCACTATAGCAAAGAGACACTTTTCACTAATACAAAATATACAAAAATCGTTAATATTTCAGAAATAGTATAACAACTTAAATTAACACAAAACGATAAAAGGAAACCTCAGTATTCCATCATACTTTGATTTTTAATACTGCATAACAAACGTTTCATCTTGCATTTAAACACACACCAATTTCACCACAGCAGGGACATCACTGACTTGAGTTTTAAAAAGAGATTTGTATTTTAGATATATTTGAACACACACCCGACAGCACACTTACTACACAGTTATGCAAAATGTATAACTCTTTTTAACTTATATTAATAAAAGGTGGGCTTATAAATGCTCAATGAAGTCAAGATATACACCAAGCCTCCCTTGGTTTAGTGATTCTGATCTGTCCACTGAAAGGAGCGACCAGTGAATATATTAATATATTTATTTTACATGTCTACTGTCACTGGCTCTTTCTTAGAGAGGGAAATATTAGAACAATCAGTGAAATAGGAAAGGCAGAGCTCACGCTGAAAAAGGGTTGACTGAGGTAACAGTGACAGTTGTAAATGTATTTTTGATATGGATTCAAGAAATCGTTAAGAAAAGTAAGATTTATATTGTAGTTTCTTCCTTGAGTAGGAGTTTTTTCTTGATAAACTAACAAATTATTATCTTTGACCTTAAACTTTATAGTTGAAGTCAGGAGGAGAAGGAGGGGAGGGAGGGAGGGCATAAGAAGAGGAGGAGGAGGAGAAGGAACTCCAAAATATTATTCTACTGAAGAAGTGAAATTAAACTGTAGTGCTTCAGAGAAAGGGAAGTCCTGCATAATCTCACTTACACGTGGAATCTACAAAACCAAACTCATAGAAAAGAGATCCGATTTGTAGTTACTAGAGGCAGAGTTTGGGGGTGGGGAATCGGGTGAAGGCAGTCAAAAGGTACAAACTTCCAGTTAGAAGGTAAATAGGTCCTGGGGATGAGATGTACAGCATGGTGACGATAGCTAACACTGCTGTATGGGAAAGCCGGGGCTTCCTTAGAGAGCAAATCCTAAAAGTTCTCATCATGAAGAAAAAAAATTTCTTTTTGTGATTATATGGGGTGATGGATGTTAATTAAACTTATCGTGGTAATCATTTCACAAAATATGTGTGTCAGGTCATTATGCCGCACACCTTAAACTTACACAGTGCTGGATGTCAATTACATCTCGATAAAACCAGGGGTATGAAAGCCGTCAAGCCTCACTGGCAAAAGTTGCGGTTTACTGTCCTCCGCTTCTCCCTGAAAAACTTTTTGAAATTTCTCTCTTTCCTCTCTTTACTAAGGATTTATCTACATTTAATGAACATAAAAGTATTTTGCTCAACTGCTTCTATACCCTTTAAAAGAAATATGACTTGAAATCCGAAAAAGTGTGTTTTTTAGTTTAAGAACAGATATCAATGGGAAATTAAACAAAATTTCAGTAAAGTCAAATACTAGGCATACCAAGAAATGTCAAAATATAATTAATATCAATTCATTTATCCATACATATCTTCAACATTTATTTAATGTTTATGTGTAAGGCACTTTACCTAGGATGTTTGGAATATGAAAATAATGAGGTAGATTCTGTTTTCCAGGTGTTTACCGTTGGGAAGGGAAGGGAAGACAAGTACAGAAAACTACGGTAAACAGTTAACAGTAACTCGGTGGTGTCCTGACACAAACTCTACCACCACACAAGAGGCCGTTGTGTCACTTCCCAGCTTGTGTTCTGTGACACCACGTCAATGGCTTGAAATCACCCATGGTGGGAGTATTCACACCACAGAAAAGCTACAAGTCAGGGGGCCCCCTCCCTTTCCAGAGCCAGCTGGGAAGCACTGACGAGCACACCATTGGAGACGTCCATCAATGAGGTGGACGTAAATACAACCATGCCTCTCGCAGCCTCCCCCACCTTTGCTGAAAGCAGCTCCATCCTTTCAGCTCTCGGGCCAAAACCCCTAGAGTCATCCTTGACTGCTCGTTTGTTCTCACACCCCCATCCAATCTATCAGCAAATTTTTTTGGCTCCAGCTTCAAAATATTTCCAGAATCTGACTGCTTCTCATCCTTTCCACTCCTAACGAGTCATCCTAGTCACTATCATCTCCCACCTGGATTACTGCAATAGCTTCCTGACTGGTCTCCCACTTCTTCCCTGGCCCTGGGACAGCCCATTCCCCGCCCAGCAGCCAGAGGAATCTGGATTTAAAAGGTAAGTTAGAGCATGCCGCTCCTCTGCCTGAAGTCCCCCTTCCAGCCGCTAACGGGGTTACTTGATCTGCCCTGAGCTCCCCATCCCAAGCGCCTCTCCAGCCTCTCCTCCTGCCTCTCCTTTGATCTCACGAGCACCGCCTGTAACGCCTGCCACACTGGCCTCCTTGCTGCTTGTTCCTCAAACATACTGGAATGTTCGCACCTTAGGAACACCGCCCTGGTTGTGGCCGCCGCCTAGAACACTCCTCTGCAGACTCTGCACGGCTAGCTCCATCAGCACCTTCAACTCTTTGCCTAAGAGTACCCTCCCTGAGCGAGGCTTCCCAGGCCCCTTACCTAAAATTTTAGAACTTACCCCCAAACATTTTATATCTTCTTTCCTTGCTTTATTTGTCTTCTTAGTACTTATTATTTTACTAGATATTTGACTTATTTCTCTTGTTTATCGTCTCTCTTCCCATACTAGAATGTAGGATCTATGAAGGGGCAGGGATTTTTGAAATATTATTCACTATCATCACTCCAACACCTAGAGCAGGGCCTGGCACACATCGTAAGAACTTAATACACATTCATTGAGTAAATGGATGAATATAACAACTTAGAGAGATTTTTCCTCCAGAAAGCATCGATGGGAGCAAGAAGTCAGTCTACGTGGCACAAAGTGGGTACCTAGTAAATGTTTTTCACCATTGGAGGTTTTCCAGTTAGCGCCAGAAAGCAAAGGGCATCAACTCACTGCCCTGCAACTTGGTACGTAAAGGGAAAGAATTAAACATTATTCTGCCTTTCTACTATGAACTGCATTTCATGGAAATGAAATAGTTGATGAAGGAAATTTCTCTATAGATTTCCAGTTAATAAATGCAGAAGGAATACTGAGTTAGAAATGACCATTTTACAGTCTCTACCCACAAAGTGGATCTAGGAAACAACCACAAAGGCTGCCTAAAACCATGAAGGTGAAAGGCTGTGGGGGCACTTCTTAAAGCAGGGAGTAAGCTGATCCAGTGATCAATCTTAGCACCGTGAGAAGTGGGATAACCAGACAGCAAGACATATATGTGATGGGAAGAACACAGTACCACCCATTGAGAATTCTTGCTTAAAATATTGAACTTTGCATCTAATCAAGTCTCTATAAATCCAGAATAAGGAACATCCTGTAGGCAAATGACTACTTTCTCTAAAAAATCAATAGCATGACAAAAACAGGAGGTGGATGGGTGGATAACTCCTAAAGAATAAAAGAGACTTTAAAAACTTAATAACCAAACACAATGTTAGATTTTTGGATCCTGATTCAAACACATTAATTCTAAAAAGACATTTTTGAGACAGTTGGGAAAATTTGAACATGGGCTATTATAAAACAGTGTTAGGGAATTATTATTATTTTCAGGTGTACTAATGAGAGGATGGTTGTATATATAAAGTGTTTTTATCATTAGAGATGTATTTAGGTGAAGTGACATGATATCTGAAATTTGCTTTAAAATAAACAAACAAACAAGCTGAACACGACTGGCAAAATATTGATAGTTGTTGAAGCTGGGAGATGGGTACATATGGGTTCATTCTAATAGTCTGTCTATTTTTGTTGTGTGGGAAGTTTTCTAATAAAAAGACTGAAATAACAAATAAATATTTAATAAATGAAAATATGAGAGAAGAACATTCTGTAGTTCTTCAAATGCCCACTCAAGAGTACTGCTCCAGCTACACGCTTCTGTGGTCACTTAACATCACAATCAACCAAAAAGAAAGTTTCAGAATTCCCGAATCGAATAACAAAAAAAAATGCCCATGAAACTTTGAATTACCTTCACAGCCGACCTCGTCTTCTCCCGTGATGCAGTCCATCTCACCATTGCACTTGTACTGCTTTGGGATACAAACTCCCGATTTACACAGGAAACTTTCGCCTCGGCACCCTATGCAGACACAAGCAGAAGAGGGGTGTTTTCACTCTCAAAATGGAAGGAGATGGAGTCTCAAATTCAACGGTAAAACCCTTCCTACTCTTTTCGCCCGAAGACTGCTTCTGGGGGATGTAAGGGCTGCTGTCTCCCTACCTTTACAGCACAGCTCATCACTCTGGTCTCCACAGTCATTGACACCGTCGCAGGCACTCTTTTGAGGAACGTGTTTCCCGTTCACACACTGAAAGGAGTCACCTGGCAAAACTGTAAAGTAGGAATTATCTTTGTGAAGTTTACTTATGGAGGGTGGGTGGCATCTTTATCACATTTTTGGAATAATGGGGACGTTAAGATAAAGTTAGGCATCAAATAAAAAAATGATATAAAATATATGGGTAGCATCACCATAAAGTATGTGGTTAATAAGGAAAAGAAATGCCAAAGCTGGCTTGTGGAGGCCCTAACACTGTCTCTGAAAACCAGCATCTGTTGTGGAGGTCTATACTCACTGGGATGGGGAGGGCTCAGGAATCAGGAGCCCCAGCCGACGGGCAGACACGCGTTCAGCCTCCCTTTCAGGCTGCACACTACTCTCCACCCCACCCCAAGACTTACTCGGGTAGTGCCGTTTACATTTTGATGGTACTTTTTTTAGCACCAAAAGAGGCTTTGGCCTTCAACACCACATATATGGCTAAAATATTCCACTGTCCGGGTGGAGAAGAAAAGTGGCAGTGAGTGCCTGGAAACTGAGGCACGGATGTGGTCACTTAACCATTTTAAAGGGACGTGTATAGGCTGGACCTCTCAGAGGTGATGTGAGGTTTCTTCTGATGTCTGATTGACATGTGTTTGCGATATTAACTTCAAACCAGATGTTCAAGGAAGCAAAGGGGAGTCAAACAAGTTTGCTTCCCACATAGGAACCTGGATAGAAGGAATATCCGAATGGTGAAAAGGTACAATAGGGGAAAAGCACCAATTTAGGCTCTAAAACCCAAAACATGATTTTGCCTCTGTGACTGGCAATTGGGTATCCATCATTAGTTTGTTTACTACAGATTTGGTGCAAAATAAACAACCTTGAAGCAAGGGAACATATCAGGCAAGAACTCTACCAACCTGCATTCTGTGTGTAACACACCACAACAGCTAAATCCTGGGTGCTGGTAGTTTCTCTCTTACTAATAGTACATTCAGCCAAACTGGTCTCTAATCCTTGACAACGCACAGACAGACATTCAGAGGAACCTGGGGGGAGATCTTCAGGAAATTGAAATGTTCCTTGAGTATCATGAGCTCCTCTGCAAACAGAAGAAATGGGACATTAGGGTGGAATTATTAGTCCTTGGCATTTATAACTGCAGTCTGGGAGGTAAGGGACTAATTTCCTCCCATTTTCTACATATGAGTGATAGATTGAGCAAGATGCTTAAATTCTCTGAGCCTCAATCACTTCCCCTGAAAGGGAATATAACCATCTCACCAAGCTTTGTAAAGATTAACTAAAACAATCAATTTAAAATGACTAGCCAAAGTTCGAAACACAGCAAACACTCAGCAAATATTGGTTTCCTCTCCTCTGTTTCTTGTGAAGGAGGAATATTTCTTTTTCCACACTCTGGATGTTTCCTTCTAACCTGAGATGTGTCATTCTTGGCCTCTCTTCCATCTCTTAATTCCTCTTCTCTCCAGGAAAGGGAGTGGAGTAATTTGATCAGGGAATTTTGGAAATATAAATTAGGCAAGGGCAGCCCAGATCTTCCGTCTTTTCCTTTTGGGGGCCCCTCCACTTGCCCCGGGCTGTGAGGTTTACCTGGCTGGCTTTGTTTTTGCCTAGGATGTGGGAGGTTAAGTTAGTTTCATTCTGGCAGGTCCATTTTGCTTTTATACTAAGCTACATCCTCAATTCAGCCATGACGGTATTGAGGTGATATTTAGGCATCTATATGCCATTGTTTGGACTTCTCAATTAGTTCAGAATTTGTACAGGTATAAGACTACTTCTATGACCCAAGACCTTAGAGATAATGAGTTACGGTGAACTATCCCTCCAGCCCATTCAATTGCTCCCTGCTTCTCTTTAGAAGTACATGGAGAAAAATGAGTTAAAAATAAAAAGTTGAGCAAAGATGCATCAGGCAAATGTAAACAAAAATTAAGCAGTAATGGCAATATAAATATCAGACAAATTAGAATGAAAGGGAAAAAGAGAACAATTAAAGAGAACAAGAACAGTATTTTTAATTATTTCAGATCCCTAATGAAACTGTGCCAAACAGCATCAAAATATGAGAACAAATGAGAGCCACTTGGGGCAATGTGACAGCTGAACAATCTCTCACCATAAAACTATCTAGAAGTACTAGATAAATCTAATAAATGACCTCAATGAGCTCTTAAGGCAGTAAGGGAAATACCCACTGGCTGAAATCAGAGAAGTCTGTCCATGAGCTTATGTAAAATATGAAAAGAACAAAAGTCTGAGAGATCAAAGGCTGAGAGAGTTTACCATTTGGTTGAATCATAGGTTGTAGGTCACAAACTATCAAAAATCAGAAATACCCTGTGGCTCAATTTAATGATGAGAGACTCTCACTAATGAACTACTAGCAGATGTGTTTTAGGAAGAAGAAATTGAATCCAGAATGAAGGAGTGAGACATAAGAAGCAACAATAAACTAAGAAGTTGGTAAATCTGAAGTAGATCTGAGAAAGCACTGACCAAACAACAGTAATAGTAACTGCTTATTTAGAATGATAGCAGTTAACTTCAGGGTTGTATAAAAATAAGGTGGAACTAAATACTGGAAACTTGGTAGGGTAATGACATTCTTTGTATATTCCTGAAAAGGGAGAGGACTTCCTAAGTCAAGGATTCATGGTATAAATGTAAAGATAACCACTAAAGGAATAGAAATAGAATGTATATAATTTCCACCACGTAGAGGAGGAAAAGGGGGAAGATTAAAAAAAACCCATAACTTTATTAACGTAATAGAAGTTAGAAAAGGAAGAAACAAGAGCACAGAAATCAGGGTAAATAATAAGCCCAAAATAAGATAGGAAAAATAAATTCAGCAATGTAAATAATCACAATAATGTAAATGACTAAACTTCTCAGAAAGTTATTGTCATACTGGATTTTTTAAAAAAAATCTAGATGTGTTCTGTTTATAAGGGACACATGTAAAAGATAAAGACACAGAACGCTTGTAAGTAAATAAATGGGAAAAGATTTGAACAACGCAGTTAACAAGCTTACTTATTCTAATGAATAACATATCTATTATATAGAACCCTGCACATGACACATTTAAAATATACTCAGCACAAAGCAAGTCTCAACAAATATTTAAACAATTGTCTCATAGAGAGACATGCTCTGACCACAATATGATTAAATAGGAAATCTATAACAAAAATGTAACCAAAAACAAACTAATATATTCATTAGGAAAGTAAAAAAAGAAACTTCTAAATTACATATGGGTCGAAGAAGAAATTATATTGAAAATTAGGAACTATTTCGAACTGAACAATAAATAAAATACCGCTAATGGAGGCTGATGGCATGCAGAGGAAGCATTATCTAGAGGGAAATTTGCTTAATTAAATGCTTAGAGCAGAAAACGATAAAAATTGAAAATTGGTGAGCTAAGCATTTAACTCAAGGAATTAGAAAAAATACAATAGAAAAAGGAAGAGAGACAGCCAAAGATAATAGCAAAAGTTAATAAAGTTGAAAATAAAGAAACGAGACAATTTATAAATATAAAAATTAAAAAACTAATCAAATAGACAAATCTCTACAAGGTTGATCAAGAAAAAAAGAGAGAAGGCATAAGTAAACAGTATAAGGTATGAAGAAGTAGACGTCATTACAGATGAGTAGAGACAGACAGTAGTGAGTGTTTTTTCAAGTCTCCAAATCAGCCAAGGACTGGTATCCAGATCCTTTAACAGCGCGTACGGGTGCTCCGTGCTCAGCAGTGTTCTCAGTGCCAGTCAAACATGAACACGTCTAATCCTCAGAATGCGGCTATGAGGCAGGCAGTTAATATTCTCAGGTTACATATGAGGAAATAGAGGCACTGAAAGATTAGGCAATCAAAAAACAAATAGTTGGAACAATAAAATTGACCCTGGGAAAACTTGCTGAAAGGAACACTCACAGTTGAAATCCAAGGTCGAGGCAGGCCACGTTGGCCTGTGTCATGCTCCAGTTCTCTTTACATACAAACATTTTCTTCTCTTGGTTCACAAGTTTTACTTCAACAAATCCCTCTGAATCTGTATTTCCATACTTCAAGGAAACACTAAATTGCCCTAAATTAAAAACCGAAAGAATGAGCAATATTTAGGCATTCACATTTTCTCCTCCTGATTAGAAGCCTTTAAAATAATAAAATACACAATTTCAAATTAACTTTCAACACCAGGAAGGTTTTAACAAATTATGGTAGGCAGTTATTTTATGAGGGCTTATTATGCGTCAGCGGCTGTGCCACCCGGTTATACAGAATATCATGAAATTCTCACATTAACCCTGTGCAGATTAAGCTGATATTCATCCTCATTTTTACACAAGAAGAACCTAACTTCCTCCATCCTTACACATGAGGTTAAGTTACTCGCTCAAACGGTGAAGCTGGAATCTGAACCTGGTGTATTGATCTCCTTCCAAAGTCCGTGCTCTTGAAAGTAAGCCAAACAAATAATGAAAATGTCGGAAAGGTTTATGCATTCTCGTATACTCTAGAGAACAAAAGTCTGACACTGACAAAATAATCTCCATATTGCTTTCCCCCCTCCAGTAGGTAATAGAGATGGGCTCAGGTGGTTCACAGTACTTGCTCACAATACCTCAGCATCTTAACTCAACATCACAAAAATATTTAGGCTACAGGGTGCTGGTGTGTGTCGTGGTACCTTTAAAAAGAATGTTCTAAGTGTTCCTCTGTAAATTCATGAAGTGTTGGTGATGACTAACATCAGAAGACAATGAGCCTGGGGTTTGCTGTCCTCGCTGAAATTTCATGAGCACTTTCCGTGCACCAAACGCTGTATGAAGAGCTTTACATACATCGTTTTATTTAATTTTCATGAGAGTCTTACGACTGTCTTACGAGTTAGGAACTACTATTATCCACCTTTTACAGATGTGGAAACAGGCCCAGAGAGGTCACACAGCTTGTCGATAACCGAGGTGGGGCTTGGAGGGGCTTGCAACTATATCTGACTGACAGTGAGATCCCTAATCTTGACCATTCCATGAATCCACATGGTAGAGTCCCGGCCTCCTTGCTACATTAGGCACCTGGACAGAGTATAGAAGATCTCTGATCTGACGTGCCAAGTTTGCTGGGTTGGAGTATGTCCTAGGTGAGCAGTGCCCTGAGCTCCCCTTGGACCAGGGCATTGCAACGGAGTCAGGACTAGGGAGAGGGGTAGGGGCTGGTGGGATGGATACTGGAAGAAATTACTGGGGCCAGAGGTCCAGGGGAGGGTGTCATATCAGTACCAAGCTCACGTAAAGACTTTTTCACTGGCTTCTGAAGCAACTCAATGGCTCTGGGAATAATCCCTTTAGCCAAGTGGAAGTGAAAGTGGGGATACTTTGGAAGGGATAGGCAGCAGAGAGTGGCCTGGGCACTGAGGGGGGAGGACTGGCCTCAGGGCCTCATGCTCTGGACTCAAGGACTGGCTAGATTCTGGTGACCCCTAAGTTCTTTAGTTATCACCTCAATTACTATTGAGGGTCTAGAGAAGAATTTTAAGTTGTCATTATAACATTTCATAGGAAAAGTATTTTCTACTAGAAAGTATGATAGACAAGTTCCTTCTTATATCATAGGATAAACTGGGCTTTCCCTACCTTCAGCTGTGCATGTTCCACTATTTAAAAACTTTGCCTCTGGACGAATACATTCAAAACTCTTTTGCTGACAGTAAGTCGGGTAGCTTTTCCCGTTGGTTGAACACACCATGGTACCATTCTTTGGGCACTGATAAGGGAGTTTACAACTACAGGCCCCTTGGATGCATCTCCGCCATGGTGGGCAGAAGACTTTATTACAGGAGAGATGTGTGTATTTTTCAGTTAAGCACTTTTTCTCCACCAGATCCTCTTGAAATGTGTCTGATGTCTGAGCATTCTATAAAACACAAAACAAACATTAATTTAGCAACAAACTAAAACTTTCATTTTGAAGATGAATAAGTGAAGGAAAAGAATAAAACAGACTCACCTACCCTGCAGTACGGATGAGGGTGCTGGGGTCTGGTGGTTTTTAGAATCAGGCAAACCTAGCTTCTAGTCCCAGTGTGGGCACTTACAGCTATATGGCCTTGGGCAAGCTACTTACCCTTGTGACACGTGGTTTCCTCATCAGTAAAATAGGGATAATCTTTTCTATTTTGTAAGGTTATTGCAAGGATCAGAAATAATATGCATGTAACGGTTGGCAGGTAGTAGGCACGAAATCAATGGGAGCTATTATTATCCTAAAGCCAACATGAAACTCTGCCTTTAAAGAAATAAATAAATCTCATCAGTCATGTTAAGGAGTAACAAATTTGGTCCTAAATATAGTCTCATGGAATGAATTGATGAATGAAATGGATTAATTCTGTTAACAAATGCAAAACCATTTGTTAAACTCCTACTATGCACAAAATCCTGCTAAGATGACCATGACATGGGCTCTGTCTTCTAAGGGCTTGATATCTAGGCGGTAAGACAGAAACGTGCATAATAGCTGGAGTACAAGGCAGACTGTGGTAAGTGACAGGACAGCAGCACAGATATCACACTACTCTCGGAGAACCAGCCTGGGAGAGAGGAAGTCTTTCCAGGGTGAGTTTAAAAGCCTCATGGAGGTGGTAGCATTTGAACGAGGTGAGGGGGGACAAGTGCTAGTAAAACCCAGGCGGGATGGTGAAGAAGGTATTTAGGGAATCGTGAACGGTCCCAACCAATGGGCATATATGGTTGTGTGTACTTCAAATGGGGTGCTCGCTGGTCAGCAAACTGGAGAGGAAGAGGCAGCAGGAATGGAGCCTGAGAATGGTTTGAAAGACACTTGAGCAGGCAAAAGCCATAGGATTGGACAATTTAATCCACGGAGGGGTTGAGGGTGGGTCCTAGGTTTTGAGGCTGAGTGACTGTAAGGGTGTACAAAGCCATTAACCAAAATAGACATTAAGTTAAGGAAGAGCTTTATGAATTTAGTTTGCTACCTGTTGAGTCTGAGTTGCCTGAAGGACGTGACCCTGGGAGGTATTTTGTAGGAAAGGGAAATGTGGGTCTGAAGCTTGGAAGACAGATCATTAGCTCATTTATCAATTAATTCAATAAACGAGTTAGTAAGCCCCACTCTGTTCCAGGGAACGGCCTGAGGTAAGGAACAGAGGACTGAAAGTGCCTGTCCTAAGGAGCACAGCAACCCGAGGGGAGACAGGCCAGCCTGACTGACACTCCCTGACAGACATGGCCGGGGATGCTATGAGACAGTGTCTGGGGCCCTGCCTGACTAGGAGGCTTGGGAACATTTCCAGGAAGAGCTGATGCCTGGGCCGGGTTCTGAGGGCACTGAGGAGTCAGCTGGCAGAGGGGTGGTGGGGAGGCACTCCAGGCAGGACTGAGAAAGAGAACTGGAGGTGTTCAAGGCTGGAGAACAGAATGAGAGGTAGTGGGGGAGAAGGGAGCAGGTCCTGAGGGAGCCACTGAGGGACTTTAAGCAGGGAAGCAAATTTGCATTTGAGGAAGATCTTTCTGGAGATTAGATCAGACAGCAGGAGGCCGATTAGACCTGCAGGAATCCAGAGGAAATATGACGAGGGCTGGGAACAGGCCAGTTGGGTCAAAAGTCAGTTGCGGAAAGTCAGCGCTCTCTCTCTGTCCCCTGGTCGCCTGTCTGGAGGATGGGCGTCCTGTCCTCTAGTCTCCCAGCCCCCAGCAATGAGGGGCCCCCTCTCTCGCAGCGCCCTCCAGCGCAGTAACAGCAAGCTAGGGCAGCAACAAAGCAAGTGATCTTTAAATGCTGTTATGAAGACAAATAAAAACTCGTCAATTAAAACCATGCAAAAATTTGCAAAAGCTGTGAAAGTCATTCTATCCAATATACTTTTCAGTAAACTTCATTAAATAGCCATAGAGACAAGAAAATTTAACAAATTGGTCCCTCACTACACTGGCTTTTGACACACTGATCTAGAATGAAGTCTACCACTTACATACTTTTTGTGGTTCCATGTACCTCCTTTGTAGCACTTATTAGAGTTGAAATTTCCACGATCACCTAGCTCCTGTTTCTTCCACTGACAAGGCTGTGAGTGCGCCGACAGCAGGGATAATCACCCTTTTATGCATCACCCTTATATTGAAAGAGCAACACTCCAGTTGTGTGCAAATAGAAAACAACTAGATTCTTTCCCACCTGTATCCCTTTAAATCCTTTCTGAGGTCTCATTTTCCCTTGGTCTTTAGATAGAAACTTGGGCAAGTGTCATAACTTTTCAGTCACTCTTAGATTAGAGCAAAAATGAAAAAATTAAAAGACTTTCAGTCCCAGGAGCAGTCATATAACAGCAATTACAATGTCCTGGGATCATTGAAACTCGGGCTTTCATTTCAGGTGAAAGCTTCTCCTTCCTCCCAGCTCCCATTCTCTTTGGCCTTATTGGTTATGCCTTTTAAAAAAATCCTCTTGGGGCTGGCCCGGTGGCAAGAATCACAAGAATACCTGGGGGTCCAGGTATTCATTGAACAAATGGTGAAAAAAGTCCAACAAAGCTAGAACATCAAGGAGAATTTACATTTAAGGAGCTGAAGAAGTGGAACAAGCAAAGGAAACTTTTCTTCCCAGCCGGAGGGGTGTTGTTCGGGTGTCTAGTGCTGCAGAGGGCTTCAGAGGATGAAGCAGAGTAAGGACACTGATTTGATGAACAACAGTCATTGGGATCCTTTGAAGAAATAGTTTTAGCGTAATGTCAGAGGCAGAAACAGACCTTGGTGAGCTGAGGCTGGAATGGGAAGTGAAGAAATGGCAGCAGAAGTACAGGCTGACTGCTTTGATTGGTCTTCTGCTTAGACATGGGAGACTGAACACAGGCTTTAAAAACATCTCTGCTACCTCTCCAAGCCCCATTAAAATGAGAGTAAGAGGATTTTTTTTTCTTGGTGAGGAAGATCGGCCCTGAGCTAACATCTGCCAATCCTCCTCTTTTTGCTGAGGAAGACCGGCCCTGAGCTAACTAACATCCATGCCCATCTTCCTCCACTTTATATGGGTCGCCTGCCACAGCATGGCCCGACAAGCGGTGCGTTGCTGCGCGCCTAGGATCCGAACCGGCGAACCCCGGGCTGCCGCAGCGGAGCGCGCTCACTTAACCGCTTGTGCCGCCGAGTCGGCCCCAAGAGGATTTCTTTAAAAGGCATAACCAATAAGGCCACAGAGAATAGGAAGAGGACTACAGACTCGAGATGTTATCAAACGTTGGAAGCTGGACAGCAGGTGGGCTGGTGGTGATGGATTTAGCAGACCAGAGAGAACCGAAACCCAAGCCTAACGAGGGCAAGCCATCAGAATAAAGCAAATTCACTCTGCAGAACCCCAGAAAAGCAGAGGAATTGAGGCACTTAGTACCACTGAAGAAGATGGAGTGGCTAAATAACCGGGGGACTCATTAAAAGAAATGGTTGTATGAACACGTTATTAAGGAATCTGATGAAAATAGCAGAAGAAACAGCGAAGATTTGAAAGTAGTTGTCTCTGGACAGAGAGAATCAGGGGTGAGGAGGGGTGTGATGGGGTATTTGACGTTTTAAGCAAGGATAATTGATCTTATCTGACTGCTCAGTGTCTATGCCCAACCAATTGTTAAACATTTAAAATATCACCACGGTTTTAAGCTTTATGGTATTATTTGCCTTTGTAAACTATATGCATGAAATAATTTCATAAAAAATAATTAAATGAAAAAGAATGTCATTATGCTTTCAGTAGAGAAAAGATTAAGTGTTAGGCTTTGAAGGAGGAAACAATGGATGGGACAGTAGCATGAAGGGACTTACGGTAAAGAGAGATTGTTGTTGTTGGGATAGAAGAGATTTTATCATAATTCTAGGCTCAAGTCAGGAATTTAACAGAATGGGAAAGATTGAAGCTTTAAGAGAGAGGGGGCAAAATTGTTGAAACACAGTCGAGGAGAGGATAAGAGCAGGGGTAATCAGAGCATGATGGAGAAGATTGCCTTAGAAATCAAGCAGTTTCCTATTTGTACAATTTCCTATTGTAAGTTGGAACCAATTTTATGATGATATTACCATTTTAAATTTCAGGTCGATGATAACAGCTAACACCAACACAGTGGCTGTCGAAAATGGCAATCATCGAAGGAGAGAGAGAAAATTATTGTGGGGCAATGGCTGGGTACAGTGAGAGTAGGTTTGTTTATCCACTGTGTAAAATGTGGTGACAGTGGGCTTTAACTCTAAAAGGACTGGGTAAGTCAATTTGTCTATGGGTCCTCAGTGTCTAGAGCAGTGGGCTGATGATCTTTAAGGATGTTATTAAAGGGATTTGTAAATATATTTTTACATCAGTCTTGCCTGAAGATAGAATATAAACTATGCCTCGTACATTCATGTACACCTATCTTTCCACTGTATGTAGATGCTATTAAGATTAATAACAAGCAAAATTATCTAAATCATCACTGAAATTATATGGCCTTTTCACTTCCTTCCCTCCTACAATGACAGATACTAAAATGATAACTACTATTATGTGGGTAGTTAATGGTATAAGGTGGGGTGGTGGATAAAAGTATTTTTTAACGTTTATCTTTGTGGTAAACATTAACACTGTTTACTAAAATCTTATTTTACTCTTCTTCCAGGCAAATGGGAAGCTTGCACTTCCTTCTTGAGGCTGGCCATGGTGGTGACTTGCTTTGGCTGATGAAATGTGAGCTGAAGTAACATATATTTGTTTCAAGTAGAAGCATTTAATTGCCAGTGCTCAACGACCCAACATTCTCTTGCCCCATCACGGTGATCACGGGAACATGTGCTGCAGAGATACTGGAGAATCAAAGCAGCCTAGCATGCTGCTAATAAATAATAATATTTAATGTTATAGCAATTTTTAAT